GGAACAGACACGTACAACATCCTGAGCTCATGACATCCTGAGTTTATGGCAAGTGGTGATGGACGGATGTTTCAGGAGATGGTCACGACGAATGAATGAATGAATGAAAAGATTGAAGGAAAGTGAAAGTCCCTCCCAGAAAACAACCACTTGTTTCAACACGCTCCCTCCCAGCCCACATAGTTAAAAGTGGCCACAACGAGGAAGGCTTAAAAAGGGGACAGGGAGGAACAAGCTATGCTTTGTGCTGTTTTCAGGTGCTATCAAGTCACTTCCAGTTTATGGTGACCTTAATAGGTTTTGGGGGGCATGTGAGATGCTCAAGATTGGTTCACCAATACAATTTTCATGATGTAACAAGGACTTGAACCAAGACCTCCTGAGACCTAATCTGTTGTCTTACCCACTGTACCACATTGAATGAAATCCTATTATGTAGGTTGTGCTTGTGAAAGGATGATGGTGATGTCGCTGCCATGGGGAGATTTTCATTAATTGAAGATTTCTTCTTTTGTCGCCAGTCCTGTAGCTTCCACATGGTGAAATAGATTACTGTTAGACAAGCTGCAGGCTAGAAGGAGGAAGTTTTAAATAGTGGAAGTATGCCCTTGCTGTTGAAATCATCAACCTTCTGCATATATAACTTATGCAACAAGACCTTGAATTTCATTTTGTGTTATACCTAGTGACATAGGAAAACAGAAAAAACTGCAAATATTTTGTTCACTCATTTAAAGTGAATAAAACCGTAGAGTCGAGTCCACGGTAAATGTGGAACCCATCAGATGGGGAAAAAGAATGATGTGTAATCAGCACTTTGAATGATCATTACAGTTACCAATGCTCTTGCTATTCCGAAAGCTCATTACCAGTATAATAGTCATCATTTCCCCCCCACTTGACTTGGTTCTCAACCTTTTACCATTTGTTCCATGTATATAAACCTATAGGCTAACTATTATGCCCTGTTTGAGGAAGTGGATCCATGAAAGTTCATACTGAATATATTAAATATTTAAGGTGCCCTAAAACTTTTTTTTACTTTTGTTACACCTTTTAAAGTGTATGCTTCACTTGACATTAATAATTATTTCATTTGTATTCTAGTTATCTTTGAATGCTTTCAACATAAATGTGAATTCTTTACATACTTTAAAAAAATGACTTTCTTAACATTTATTTTTCAGTACTGAGAATAATGGAGAGACAGGGATATTTGTAATAGGACAAAGAGGCTACCCAAAGAGAAATACCACAATCCAATGTGGTGCAGCCATAATGGAAGGAGTACCTGGTAGTTTTAGAACTGTGGCAGTTTGACATAGCAATGCTCTATAATTTAAGAAACAAAGATCCCCCAGATTTTTTTTAAAGTCAGTTTAAAATAGAACAAGACAAGGTGAAACAATATCTTGCCATAGTCAGGTAATCTATACATTAATCTTAAACTAGGAATAGGCAATATTTATACTGATCCCATGCAAAGTTGCCTATTCCTCAGCCCACTGAAACTGATAGCTTTTGATACTTCTAATATTGCATAGGACTGCATGCAGCTTTGAGTGCCTTGCTTGGCATTAGCCAAGTCATGAGCATCCTGCATTAGCATATTGCTCCACCATAGCAAGGTCAGTAGTCAACTCATGCTTGTAATTAGTGAAATCATGAGCATACTGCCCCACCATAGTCAAATCTCATGGCATCTTACCCCACCACACTCTTGTCTCTATATGCTTTAATGCATTATTACTTTGCATGAATAACATGTATGTAAAATAGTGTTTATACAGCAAGGTTGTAATACAGACCTTTGCCTCTTTTTGTAACATTGACCTCTTTGTGTCCACCAAGTCTGATGAAGTACTGTACACCAGTGGGTACTTAATAAACACATAATTGAGTTTTTGGTTTTTTTGCAAATTCTTCAAAATTCTTTTGCATCCATTTTCTTCATACCCTAAACTGAAATTTCATTGAGCATATGCACTTCTGGCAACACGTAATGGTACAACTGCCCTATGTAAATTCTTTTACTGTACAGCAAAGATGGTTGCTGTGTTAAGTGACTTTTCTATGAGTTTCATGCAAAAAGACAGCCTCAAATACTTAGTTTTTTTTAATGGGCTCCTTATAATATCTTTTTCATGGCAGGGGCAAGAAAAAAATGTCCAAAAAGAGCCCCCCCAAAAGAACCGAACCCCAAAAGGGTGAAAGGCTGTATTGTGTGACTGTGCCCATCCTTATTCATTTATTACTTTCATCCCCTCCCCCGCCAGCACAGGGCTTAGGAAAGTTCGTTTTGGTGCAAATGCTGGAAGATAACTTTTTAGAGCAACAGCCTCGAATCCCGTCAGAAGGCCAACATGGGGAGATTTAACGATCAGAGGGATTGGTGACGGGATACATTTATAGGCCACTAATAAAAAAAACCCAAATATTTAAAAAATCATGCAAAATGCAAGTTTTTGTGGGTGAATCACATGATCACAGAGACTGTTGACATCATCTTCAGGACTCAGCCAATCCTGAGGGTGCTGTTGCTGCCTTGGGAACCCAACCCCAGTCTCCTGGGTCTTTGTGACCTCGCAGAGCCCCACCTCTCTGCTGGCAGATAAAAGGGGCTTGCTGGGCAGGGCAGGGCAGGAGACCAGAAGGGAGGCCAGTGGCCAGAGGGCAGTCCAGCAGAGAGAGCGGCTGCAGGGGACCCAGCCCTTCTGCCCAAGGCAAGATCTCTCAGGAAAGCAAATGAACTTGCTAAGCGGGCTGGCGAGTTAACAATTCGAGGATGGCGAAGATCCGTGGCTTGAAGCCTGCTGATGTCGGCGATGGACCAGGGGAAAGTCAGTGGACATTGGCAGACAGAAGCTGGTGGAATCTCCCTGTGGAAGCTGACAGGCCGCAAGGCAGAGACCGGCAGAGGTTGGCGGATAAAGCCGGTGGTGGACGTTAGCCTCCAGAAACCAGTTGCCCGAAGCTTGGTGGATATCGGTGGATGGAAGCCCAGACATGGGTGTGAATGGCTGGTGAAGTAAAGGTGTGCGTATGTTGGGGGGTTGGCTTGTGTGTTTGTGTGTGAATGGGCTGGCTGGCGTTCTGTGGGGATGTCGCCGGGGTGTGAGTGTGACCCAAGGATTTGGGGGCTGGTGGAGGCCGGCTTCAGAAGCGGAGTGGAAGAGATGAATGGGTGGATAATCCTGGTTGAAGCCAGTGGATGTTGGCAGGCGGAACTTTGGGATGAAGTTGCCAGAACATTGGTCGGTGGATACGACTGCATTGAAGCAAGTTGATGGCCATGGATGAGCTTGCCCCTTAATTGTTTTTTTTCTCTCTCTTTCTCTTGCAGGGCCTGAAGCTTCCTCTTCCCCAGGGGGATGCGAGGGACCAGAAGGCAGGTGCCCTGCTGGATCTGAACCAGGCCGTTGTCTCCGCTGAGGATACCTGTTTTGTTTCTTTTCCAAAACCAATGAAAGAATTTTTCTGGAATGGTTTTGAAGAGTTGTCTTGTTTGTCAGGGGCTCTCACAGGATTATCTTCCCCATCCCCTCATTATATCTGGGGCCCAATGCCTGGGGTGGGTCTTTGTGAAGCCATGGTGTGGGGCCTTGTGATGTCACAGGAATTGGGAACATAATATTTCTCCATGCATGTCTGAGGGAGTGAGCTAGGCATTGTGGGTTCCCTCTCTGAGCTCCTAAGCAAGTATACAGTGGTGCCTCGCATAACGAGCACACCGTTTAGCGATGAATTCGCATAGCGATCCGTTTTTGGGGATCACTAATGCGATTGCATACCGATGCTTTCTATGGCCGAAAATCGCTTTGCGACGATCGGTAAGCATTTCGCTTACTGATTTTTGCATAGCGATTTTTTAAAACAGCTGATCGGCAGTTCCAAAATGGCTGCCAGACACCCAAAATGGTCGCACGCAGCATTTTCGCGCCCTGCCCTCGCTTACCGAGGGCGCAAAAATGGTGGCCGGATGGGGAAATATCGCAGAACGGTGAGTTTTGGGCCCCATTGGAACGCATTAAACCCCAATGGGTTTTTCCGTTCCATATAGCGATGTTTCCCCATAGCGACGGTTAATCCGGAACAGATTAACCTCGCTATGTGGGGCACCACTGTATTATGTGTCGTGTTGGACAGACACAGGAAGCCAGTGAGCCCTGGTGCCATTTGGAGAGAGTTGGGTACCCAAACACTATGGCCACCCCATAACAATAAACGAGAGTCACTCCTTCCCTTCCACCACTGCTCCTCACATTTGTTTGCTGGCCTGGAGATTCAGGGGAGCTCAGCCATGTCCTCTCTCAGCAGCTCATTCTCTGAGACCTGGAAAGCCTAATCTCCATCATCGACAACTATGAGCACTCCATGGACCGCTTGCAGAGTACAAGTGGGAAGAAAATATGCCACTTCAAAGAAGCTTCCAGTCCAACCTCTCACGCCAGTGCCACAACCAAGGAAATGGAGATAGGCAATCATTTGGAGATGAACGTACATTAAAATTCATGTGGATCCATGCCATGGATAGATGGCAAAATACACTTTTACCACAAAATCTGCTGATTGAGCACAGTGGCTGCCTCTGAGCACCTAGTGCAGTGATGGTGAAACATTTTGAGCCTGAATGCCCAAATTTGAACACAAAATCAATTTATTTATTTCAAACTGTCAATACTGCAATTAAAACCTGAATGGTGGGGGTTTAGTGTAGAAAAAAAAAGAT